GCGCCGCGTTCAGGCGCCGGCACGAGACCCAGGGCGGGACACAAGCGCCAGGCCCATCTCCCGGTCCTGGTCTCCCTGACCCGAGCCCTGCGCCCTTAACCTGTCCAGCTCGGAGCCGATCCCTGGCCGGGGGACCTGCGGAGGATCCGGGTCCCTTTGCTTTTCAGTCTTTGAGTGGAATTGCGCTTGTTATTCAAGCCCAGTATTAGAATCAAAAGGAAAATGAACATTCTCTTTCAGACAGCTTTTTGGTGGAGTTTCTCCAAAAAGTCTAACTTTGCCAGTTTATCTCTGAAATCCATAAAGGATACTTGGGCGGGTGAGGGTGCCGAAAACTTTGCTGAAAGTAAAGATTCTTGGAACTTTTTCAAGAGAATCATTTCACTCATTCGTTTATTCATTCAACAAACATCTGTTGAGCGCGACTGGACGCCAGACAGCTAGTCTGAAAGCCGTAGGACTGGTTCCGGATGCACTTTTCTTTTAAAATTAAAATGCCGTTGTGTGAAATGAAAGGAAGAGCAAAAGCGTAAAATAATGTCAGATGTCAAAACAAAAGAAGTGCCACTGGCTACTATAGCGATAGTAACAAGAGAGGTGCAAATTAAGAATTTAAAGCCTCTGAAAAACTACATGCCATATGCCTTGAAAACCAGTCACTTTTTTCACCTATTTCATCTCCCTCTTCTTTTGGTCCCTAGGAGTTCCACCAGGCTGCAGTCCTGAAACCAGAGTTCTGCCTGAGGTCTGAGGAACGAAGTCAACCTTTCTGCGTGTTTGTAAATAGCCTGTCATATTGGCTAAGGGATCAAACACACTGGGCCCTGGCCTCATTCTGCCCTTGGCCGGACGCAGGGAATTGGAAAGCTGTGCTCAGTCTTAGGACAGAATTTGGCCAACTCGAAGTGTTTTTCTCCAATATGAGCACTTGTTCAGGAATCAGGATGGCATTCAGGAAGGGCAGAGGGGACCACATTTCCGGGGGTATAACTACCGAACCCTAAATCAAAGACAAAGCTTTCTATCGACAGGAAGAGTAGAAAACAACTCACTCTTGAATCACCTGTGCCTTCCTATTGACAGAGAGGGGGATCCTGCAACAATGTCAGACTTCTCAGTTGGTCAAAATCAATTTCTCTCTCACACTATGTGTGCAGCACGTAGACATACAGAAAACTGGACATGGTCCCAGAGATTAGTCTAAGCCCTGGAAGGAACTTTCCAGATTCCCTTCATTACATAAATAAGATAGCTGATACACTGGAAACTCCATCTTATGAAAAACAAAGGAGACCAAACACCAACTGACTTTACTGTGATGTTCAAATACCTAGCTAAAGGGGAGAAATTCAGTGAAAAGAAACTGGGGAAGGTGGGGAGGGGTTTGGGCTACATAATGCCACATAGCTGGCTTGGCTGGGTTTTGTTTTAAAACAATGAATCAAATTGCCTTGGTTATTCAGACACAGTAAAAGAATCAAGAGAAAAATGACATTCCATTTCAGATAGCTTTGTGGTGGAGAGTTCCTTCAGAAGACTATCCACTATAGGCATCTGACTTAATTTTCTTTCTTTTAATGGGCTCTTTTGAGTTTCATGGAAGGAAGAACATAAAAACCAACATGAACTTCTGGCTTAGAGTCTCTGGGAAAACTGTGTTAATAACCCAAACTCCCAAATGAGGAAAGGAGCATGTCTATTTCCTCCATGGGATTTCCAGGGACTGAAATTCACACAGCAGCTTCCAGGGGAGCTCTGTGCTGCTTCTTCCAGGGTAGCGGGGAGGGAGCCCCACCGGCATTTCCACACCAGCGACACGTCGTCTCCCTCAAGGGGCCCTGGCCATTGTGGACTGCCGCTGGGCTATGCCTGGCTGCGGCGTGTGACACTTGTGTGCAAAGCCTTTGTACAAGCTGTAACCCTTCCCTCTCTGTCTACCCAACAAACTCCTAATTATTCTTCAAGACACAACTTGAAGGCTACTTCTGTGAGGTCTCCCCAGCTTGCTGGCCCTCCCCCAGCCCTTCCATTGTATTGGATCAGATTTCTGTGGTAGTACTTTGTATGTGCATATGTGTGTGTGTGTTTCGCCAAAATGGTGTGGAGGCCCTAAACAGTGGATATTGGCATGCATCTCCGGATTCCTCTCCTGCTCATCTCTCACCTCACACCCCTCCCCTGGACCAGCTCGCTAAAGATGTGTTCATTAAAATTAGGCCCAGAGCCATCATTTCCTCCATCAGACATCTTGCCTCCTGGATTTGTGCAAATATTGGTCCTTTGAGTGGACTTGCTCAAGGTCACACAGCTGGCAAAACCAAGACTTCAACTAAAGTCTCAAAACGAAACCACTAAACCACACAGTTGCATACCTGAGAACTCCCCGGATTTACACTTTCACTTTGAGTTCCCCAGAAGGAAGCTCCAGATGAGTTTTCTGAAGCAATGAGAACACAGCTGAAGCCTCTTCTTCAACAGCTACCTCCCTCACAGACAGTGCCTGACCCTGGCAAAGGTAGGTGAGCTCATCACAACTCAGACAACCAGCACCCAGTGCAGCCAGAAAGCTCTGCTACCAGGCGAGTCCCACCTCCAGGTAGGCCTTCGTGCCCCTCTCTCTGCACCCTGGTGGTCCCTGAGCCCCTCCCAGACTGAACAGTCCCTCACACATTTTGCAGGATTGCCCACTGCGGGGACTGGTCTAATGGCTGGAGAAGGTCGTGGGTGGTGTTAGGAAAGGAGTTCCAGAGGAGGGATGAAGGAACAGGATGTAGGCACAAGGACAGAGTTGTGTTGGCTCTCCAAGCCTCCTCTTGGCCCCTCCCCACTCCTGCGGCCCCATCCTCTGGTGCCCTCCTCGTGTGTATCATCTCTCATTCCATCTAGTCCCTCCATCTACTCGGTCTACTGTCCTCTTTCCACTTCCCTTCTCCTTTTTCTTATAATTTTACCTTTCTTCCTCTCTTTGCAATTCCCAAGCCAAAATTAACAAATGTAGGAAAGAAAACAACAGAAGTGGGTAAAAATTTATGTCTCTAATGACATGTCCATGTTTTGGAAGTAAATCTAGCATCTTAAGTCATGAGCTGCTTGCAGGACCCTCTGTAGTCCTTCATTTACTGTGAATTTGGCACAGGAAGTTTGTTGGCCCATTTTACTGCAGAGAGCCTGAGTGCAGAGGACAGCTAATCTTGTACTTTGGAAATCAAAGTAGAAATGTCAGTGAGGCTGCTAATTAATCAGTAAATTAAATCTTGCTGCCAAAGCTGCTATTTCTCATGTCCTACATTTGATCATGCTGTCTTAATGCAGAACCAACATTCAGATTCTATTTAAGCAATAAAGAAGATGTGGATCTGGCAAACCAGTTACTAGTTCTTTATGTTTTAGTACAAGTTATTTGAGTATGCATCTTGAAATTCATGTGGGAACCCAGAATGATGCTTATAAATAACAAAGTTTAAGGATATAAATCTTGATTCCTATCTGGTTCTTTATTCTTTTAGGGGGAAAATATTACCAGAAAGGTAACAATAAATGATTATTTATAAAACAGAGATTTTCAAATTGATAAACATTCCATTTTAGATTACTGAGGATGTGACCCCCCCCAAAATCATTCTTTACAACTTTGCTTCATAAACACCTTTTAAAAAACTGATCAGTCTTAATATCATCTAAGGCATTTTAAATTGTGACATATATTTATGAGAATATTTAAGGTGAATATTTTCCAAATAAGTAGCAAATGAATGGGTCATCAATTTGCATGCACTGCCTCTGAAAATGAGCATATTTGAAAACGGTTTGTTCAAAAGGCGCCATTGGCCTTTTTCCTTCCTTCTCAAAGAGCATATGTGTTGCATTAGTACTCAGAGCGTGTTTTCATAGCCTCCAGTGCTGCATTTATAAAAATCATGATGATTTTAGGACTGCACCTTCATTTTTTGAATTTTCAAAACTTGTCCCTTTTTGCTCTTTTATTTTCTTTCAGCAAAACAAAGACCGAAGAACCCCTTTAAGAAATTTTATACATTCCCACAGAGCCCCAGTTTGTTGACCTTCAGGCCACAGAGTAAAACCTTCCTTTTAAGTCAAGCATTCCCCATTGGGAAGCGCTCCAGCTTTTTCTTTTTATGAGGAATTTTAACTGCTGGACTTAATTTAATTATTGTATTTTGTACATACTCCCAGAAGCCCCAGGGCATGAGCTTTACTTTTTTCAAAACTTTCAAATGAATATCTTTTGAAATGCACATTTCTGATGGTAACTTTACTTCTTTCACTTGTATTTCTAATCTAAATACCAAACTTGGATTATTCTGTTTCCTGACTTATTCCTGGAGAGGCTTCAACCTCCCTTCTCTTTGTCACAGATACTCTTCGCTGGTAGACACGAGATATAGTCATTTGAGTCCTGAGTGTGGGAGCCCAGGTTTCATAACAAGAAAATGAAAACCATCTCCAGTTGAAGCACAATTTAAAACTAGATGGTTCTGGGGACATAGTCTTCAATAAGAAGGATTCCTAGGTTGAAATCAGTAGCATGCTGGTCCCATGGCTTCATCTGCCACCATCTGTCCCTATAGTTTCTGTGAGATACTTCCCCCAACATCAGCTGCTCCTCCTGATCCCAGCAGAGGCTCATGTGTGAACACACACACAGAGTTGTCATCCTAAGCTGATGGCAAAGATTCAATGTCTTTATTTCTCATCTCTCTTTATCCATAAACATTTTCATTTGAGCCTTCTGAGTTCCACCTGGAAATCAAAACTTTGACCACATCTTGACTCTCAAGGGTGAAAAATAAATATTTTTGCTATTGACTTAAAACTCATTTAGGAATATTGGAATGTGGGACAAACATAAATTTTGCAAATTCGTAAGTTCTGCCCAGAATATTTCATGAGGGTTGGGTCACTTATGTAGTAAATTTCATTTCAGGACTTCTGAGACCTCTGAATTTATGAAGATGTATTTGAGCAGAATTATCTGCCAGGTGAATCTGATTTTCTTACTTACTTTGATTTAAAATTTAAAATTACAGAAATCACAAAATTTTGGTGCCAAAGAAGGACTTTGGAGATCATCTAGGCCAAAGATCTGGCACCTGGCTGCATATTAGAATTACCTGGTAGACGTTTAGTAAATACTCTTGTCTGAATCATCAGTTTGCAAATTAAAAAGGGAAACAACCAAACAAGTCTCTGAAGATGCAATAAGGCTTTTACACTAGAAGTCTAAGGTATAATCCTATAGCATGATTTGGGAACTCACAGCCGTACTAAACTTTAAGAAGCAAACTTCAGTTTCCATAATTATGTTTTGGGCCACACAAATTGTACAATAGTTGACTTATTCTTTCCTCATGATACACTTTCTAATTTTATAAACACTCATATCCCTGACTGATCACAGAAGAGTTTTGAGTAGTCACAGCTTTGAAATGTCTCACACTTAATTTTTAAAATAAAGCACACTTGTGTGGATGGCTGCCCTTCCTGTTAATTTCACTTAAAAGTTTGCCCTCTTCAGTCATGCTTCATAACTAATACTCTGTGAATTTATTCTTCTTACATATAAGCAAAAAGCAATATTTGTCCAAGTATCATCTGACAATCTCAAAACCTTTGAGCCATTTTACATTGCATAGTTTTTATAAAAACGGAAGCAAAGAGACGTCAGATAACAACTCATCCAAGTGAGTCCTACAGTCACACGAAGGCAGAAATGAGCTCAGCCCTCATCTCTGATGGCCTCAAGGGAGCAAGGGCTCCTTCTGGTAAGAAGCCTTAGCCCGGGACTCCGCAGGCCGTCCTCACCGTGCCTCCCCCGTGAACAGCACCTCCCTCACCTTTCCCACTCTTCCTCATTCCTCATCTGCCTCCTCCTCCCCTTCTTGGGGACAGGCGTGCTTGCAGGTCAGGAAGGGAATGGGAGAGCTCCGGTCATTTGTTTTTGTTTTTGTTTTTGTTTTGTGGCGGAGGTAATAATTAGGTTTCTTTATGTATTTTTTTAATTAATTTTTAATTTTATTTTTTAGTGGAGGTACTGGGGATTGAACCCAGAACCTTGTGCATGCTAAGCACACACTCTGAGCTATACCCTCCCCCAAGTCATTTTGACTGGAGGGCCAAGGACCTCCCAGGAGAGATCCAGGAGGCTTTGATCTCAATTATTTGCCTTGGGCTGAAAGACCTCTGGTTGACCACTCCTCTAGGATCCTAATAAGGCCAGGACCTGGGATCACAGATGCAAAACTTTTTTCTTTTTCTCTTTTTTTTAGACGAAAGGAATGCTGAAATGCAATGATTAAAAAAGTATAGAGTTCCTACTAGAGGATACATTAATATATGGCATGCCTATATAGAATGTGTTCATTAATTCACTCCTCCAGCAGACTTTAATTGAACTTCTATTGTGTGCCTGTGGTAAGTGACATCACTGTGTTTGTGATAGGCTAAAAGGTAATCCCGGGGGTGGCCATGAGGCCCCAGGGTCCAGTAGTCCCGTCAGAAGTAAAAGCAAGTGGGCAGTTAAGGCCTTTCTTATTCTGGTCCCCATCTCCTTATTCTGTTCTAATTACTCTTTCTTATCCTTTACAACAAATATGCAGATTAACCAAGATCATAGCTCCAGATCCGAGACCAAATAAAAAAGGAATAAAAAGGAAGAAATCAGGAAGTATCTTAGAGGTAGACTCTCATGCAGCCAAAAAAAAAAGACTGTAGAAAGGAAAAAAAATTTAACGTCAAGGAGAACTATTGGAAATTTTGCCCCGCTTGGTTTTTTCACTTTCTGTTCCTTTGTACTTTTCTGTACATTCCAAATTGGCTACAGTGAGCGTGTATCACTGTGATAGCCAAGAAATATGATGATAAGTAAATGTAACTATTAATGGGATTTTGGATTTTCCAAATTTTCTAAGATGGACATTTGTAAGTTTTGTAATCAGAAAAATGTGTGTTAACCACTAAATTTAATTTTGTTGTTGTTTTAAATAAGAATAACTGAAGATGAGGAAAATAAGTCTGGGCAAGAATCAGCATTTGGATGAGAGCGTAAGTTCATTACTATTACAAGAAATAGTCAGAAGCTGGACCAGAGAAAATTTAAAGCAATAATATGTTTCTTGACTATCAAACTAAATCATTTTTGAGTGATAACCTCCAAGGCCCAGCACTCACAAGGCTGGTGGGAGTGTGACTTGTGCAATCCTCCTGGAAAATATTTGGCAATGTGTATCAACAGACTGATTGTCATTTACTTGTGCCTTTGACATCTGGATCTAGGAAATTCTATGATCCTAAATATAGAAAAAGCCTCATTCACAGACACAATTCATAGCTGCGTCATTTAAATTACAGAGGTATGGAAACCTGCTGGAATATTTAGAGCAGCCACTAAAGCTGGTATTTAGAAAGTAAGAAAAAGCTTTTAAAATAAAGTGAAGTCCAAAAACAGATACCAAGTTGTATATGCAGAGTCTAGAGCTGGACTGCCTGGGCTCTCCCGCTTACTGCTGAGTAACCTTGGGCAAGGAAGTAGCCGCTCTGTGCCTCAGTTTTATTATCTGTGAAATGGGGGTAATAACAGTACCTATCTTATAAGATTGTTATGAGATTTAAATGGATTAATACATATAAAAAAGAGTACCTGACACATAGTAGGCCCTCAACAAATGTTAGCTGCTATTATTATATTGTGATTATATTCTTATTACAATGTTAAAAATAAATCACATCGGAAGAAAATACACCAAAATGTTAGCAATTACAATGTTTGGATGACGAGACTACCAGTGATTTTTCTTTTGTCTTCTTCTTATATTTTTGTGTTTCCAAATCTTTCATTAAGTGTATATCAAATTTTTAAAACCAAGTTGGAGCTAATTACAAATACAATCTGTAGTTGAAACACTGCTTTTGCTTGCTCTATGGTTACACCTGGAAGGCCCTGAGTAGAGGAGAAAGGCCCTGGCAGGAAGTTTCCATATGATCTGAAACATCCTGCTGCCAGGACTCAGGGTCCAGGCTTCTAAGGACTTCTCTGCCTTGGGCACCACAGTCACTTCTCATCTGCCACAGGGAGGACAGGCTCGGCTACGTTGGGTCATGGAATGCATCCAGGATTGGCAAGAACGTAACCTGATTTCTGGTACCCCTCTGCCACCCACTCACTGCCTGTGGGTGCTAGGGAAGAGCCTGGTCCTTCTCTACAAGGAGGGGTCTTGATGCAATTAGCAGCCTCAGAGAATTAGAAAAGCAGTTGAGGGAATTTCTGAGATACTGCCTCGGTGGTAGGAAAAGAGATCCTGAACTCTGTGATACTCCACTCCAGCTGTCCAACCTCAGAATTCTTTCTCCCAGGGCGGAGGGCCCATCTGCTCTGTTTACACACCTGGACCTGGTGCGAAGGGCGGTTTGGAGGGTGGCTCCCTGACCATTTGTGGAATCATTCCTGCTTCCAAGCAGCACGCTACAGGCAAGCCTTCAAAGAAATGCCAGAAGCCAAGTGCACTATCTGTCATCACTTAATAATGCTTGAAGCTTTTCATATAACAAAAGGGGATGAAACAGCCCTACCTCGCATTGTGGGAACCCAATCATTCTTCCATCGGCTCTACACCAAAGGGGCTTTTTCTTACCTTTAAATGCTAGATCTGACTGACATGGGCAACCAATGCTCTTGGTAAGTAAAGCAGGAATAAAATAAGTGTTTGCAACTTTATCACAGTAGGGAAAGAAGGGAACTCATAAGTTGCAATGACAAATAATCTAGTATTATTTTTAGCAAAACAGACAAAATACATCAAATTTTAAGAATGTCAGCATCATTTTTCTATATCTATTCTTGTGAGGTTGGAATTAAACCACAGAGACAAAAAGTTTACCTACTTTGTTCATTCCTTGCACCTAGCATGGTGCTTGCTCTTAATAAATTTCCATGGAATGAATCAGTTAATGAATTGATGAATGAATGAGAGAGGGTCTCCTCTCTGTTGTGTTAGAGGATAGGGCTATAGGAATAAATAACTCAGAGTCCCACTCCCAGACGCTCACTCTAGTGATGGAACCATACATTCAAACAGAAAATGGCTCAAATACAATATGATTGGTTCCTAAACTCATACCACTAATAGTCATCAGTCGTGTTTCAGCTCCTCCTATCATGCAGGTACTTATACACAGTAAAATGTAGTCCCTTCCTTCAAAGTTCAGTCTAATCTAGAAAAGAAACGCAAAGCAAGGAAGGCACAGTACCACAAGGAAAGCAAAACAGAGAGAATGGACTCGATAGAGAGGCAGCACAGTGTAATTTAGTCTTGTAGATTCTGGCATCAAACTGCTTGAGTTCATAAAGCTGTGTGACTTTGGACGAATTGCTTAGCCTCTCTGGGCTTCAACTGTCACATCTATAAAATGAGGTTACTACTAGGACCTACCTTATAGGGTTGTTATGAGGAGTAAATTTGTTAATATCTGTAAAATTCAGGATAGTGCCAAGCTTATACTAAGTACCAGATGTAAATAAATGTGAAATAAATCTTTCCTGTGTTCTCTGAATTTCAAACTCATTAAGAACTCTCTGTTTGGCTTTCTCTTTGTGCATGCCTGATGATTCTCTCCTGATAGGACTTGTGACCGAACGCAATTCCGAAACCATGGACTCAGATTAATCGGGGAAGGAAAGGTAAGATTCCTGTCCGTTTGGGGAATATAATGAACATTTAGCCGAAAGAAAAAATAAATTCTCAAAGCCATGACACCTAAACCAGGACTGCAAATTCATTCTAAACTCTTCCCTTCTCCCTGGTCCAGGGCAGACATGGCTATACAACCTCAGTATCCTTTCCAACTGAGTCTAGATTCAGGCTCAGAATTGTTTCCAAACAGGGCCCCAGGCAGTTACTGCTAACCAGGGCCTGCCTCTGTGTCTCCCTGTGTCTGGCCTAAACCCTACCTTAGGGTCAGCCTCAGGGTCACTTTTCCCATTGGACACACTGGGCTGCCTTCCTGTCCCCCTGCTGCCAGAGCCACAGTGTGACTGCAGCCCCGCTCCCAGTGTGGCCTGCCAGCCCCCATTCCTGAGAGATCTACTTTGCCCTCCCTGGTGGGTCCACAGCCACTGGCTAACTCTGTGACCTCAGCTAAGCAAGTTTCTTAACCTTCTCTGAGCCACTAATTCCTTCTGGGTAAATAGAACCTCCCTCGGGATCATTGTGAGGCTTAAATGTGATCATGTATGTAAGTGGCCCTGGCTGGAGTGGGCTCTCAATAAAAGGTAGGTGTCATTATTGCTAAGCCCAGCCCTGTCTTCCCACCAACCAGCTAGGCACAGAGCCTTCGTGACTTCACTCCCAGGGTGCATAACATAACATAAAACAGGGCTGGAAAGCTCCTGTCTAAGCCACTGTTGCCCCCACTCAGCATAACTGTCACTGAACCCACGGTCATATGGGCTGAGACGCCTGGGAAGGGGTGAAGAGCAGCAGAGGGAGGAAGGGTGAGGGATGGGGAGTGAGGGTATCCGGAGGTGCACGCAGGGGCTCCATCACAGACTCTCTTAGGAAATGAAGGGAGGGGGCCCTGGAGGGTTTCTACTACTCCCGTATGCAGAGAGGGGGCCTTCTGCATGGACCAGGGGTGACACCACAGAGACAGTCCCTCCTATTTGCCTTCTTCATCTCTTCCAAATCAAGGGCTGACTTATCTAGGGGGAAGGTATAGCTCAAGTGGTGCATGTTTAGCATGCATGAGGTCCTGGGTTCAATCCCCAGTGCCTCCTCCAAAAATAATAAGTAAACCTAATTACCCCACCCTGAAGAAAAAGAGGCTCTATCTCAAATAAAATTTATTCCTGTTCACCTGCAAATAAATACCTAAGCCTGTGGTTTAAAACCAAAAACTCTTAAAAAGAGAGGGGGTGCTGACTTCTCTAAAACTCTTTATAGAGCCCTCTCGTTTCTGCCTCCCAACTGAAGCTCGGTATGGATGACTCAGTTGTGAGTTCCTGTCCCCTCCTGCACTGGGAGGGTTGTTCCCTGAGAAGCTTAGCCATAGCCTTTCCCCTCTGCCTCCTCCCTTTGACTCTGTCTCCACCTTGTCTCACCAAGTAAGTGTGTGTGATATGCCCACCTCCATCACACAGAGGAACAGGTCCTGCTCCTGCCCCGTGCCCCCCAAAAGTGGCCTTGCACCCTTTGGACCCAGCCCATGCTCAAGTCCAGCAAATGAGTCAAAGGCTGGCATCCCTTGGTCATCCACCAGACAGCCTCTCCCCTGGTCCCCTTCACTCTTTATGGGCCCAGCCTGCGAGTGAGTCCTCCAGGGCCTTCTCATAAAGGCTCTGTCAACATTTTCAATGCAGGCTTGTCTTCCGATAGTTTACAAGTCAACTGGGAAACAAAATGAGCCCCGGCAAGGAAGTGCCTTAGGAGGGAGCACATCCGAGCAGAGAGAGCCCAGTGCAGCCACTGGGCGTTGAAATCTTGGCCAGTTTAATATCCGCATCAAACATGGATTTGTGTGGAATGTAGCCGCTTCTTTTAATTGCTCCCAATAAATATCCTGGGTAATTTTAAGAAAGATTTCAGCAGCAGCGCGAGCCTCTATTACCAGGAAGTGCTTTGGGGTATTGTGCGCTGAGAAAGGCACTACATAAATTGAAACTCCTTTTGCTCCGAGCCGAGTCCTGAAAGTTCATGCAGTGAGAAACATTTCTCACCGTGCACGAACTGTGAATTGTATATAAAATTAAATTTTCTGATTAAAATCTGCATTGTTGGACCTCCTGCCGGCTGCCACCATTTTGCTGAAATAAGATACTATTTGTGGTAATGGCAGCGAGGGAAACCTGTTATCATTGATTGTAAACTGGCTTCACTCCTACGGCTTAAAAATCTGGAGAGCTTTATTGTGCAAACATTGCATTTTCCGTACAAATATTACAGAGCGAAGCTTTACTGCGGGTTCCTCAGGCAGGGTGCAAGCGGGTTCACATCCCGACCCCGAGCGCCCTAAATCTCGTGCGCGCCCAGCCCCGGGCTGCAGTCGGGGCTCTGCGAGGGGAAGCTGCCGGCAGGATGAGCGCCTATATAACCGTCTGCTGTGTTTTAATTAAAAAAAATATTTTTCTTCACAAGGGCATTATTATTTGAGAGCGGAAGGAAGATAAAGGAAAAGAAAGGGCCTGGGAAGAGTTCAAATTTAAGAGCCCACCCTCCAACCCCCCTTGGCCCGGGAAACCTACAGGATTGCCTTATAAGAATTTACTCTCCCCGCCCCCACCCACCCCACCCCACCCCCACCCCCAGTCCCTCTCCCTTCACCGCCAACCTCCAAGCCCCAGTTCTGAGAATCAGCCTCATAGAAGTCAACTATGATTCTGCACAGCATCACTGATAGAGGGGTCCAGGCTAATAACTTTGTCTGACAAATGCAGAATCTGAAACCGAAAACAATAAAGACTTTTTTTTTTGCCTAAGAAGAAGTGCTCTCGGAATTAGAACCCCCAGGGCTGATTTTCATCTTTTGTTTCCCCAGCTTTCAGTCCACAAGTGAGCACTCTCCAAAAGTCAACATCGGCCGCGAGCACACAAATATTTTTTATAGCCTTCCAACCATTAGGATAGATTGTCACTCTCATTTTGTAAATCATTTTGTTGCTTGGGTAATACAAAATAGCTTTGACTTACAAAGGGAGAAAGGGTGGAGGGGTGGGGAGGATTTAGCAAAGTGATTGATCCAACTCGGTGTAGCTCATATTTTGACAAAATAATGCCAAAACACATTTCTTAAGGAACAACCTAGTCTCTGAATCTCACCAAATCTTTTTCTAGAAGAGAGCGTGAAGGTTACAGGCAAAAACATTGCCAGAGTGGAATAAACCAAGCTACTTCCTCTGCAGGATCCAGTGCAGGGGAAGTGGGTTGAGGAGGATGGGTACTCACAGACCCATAGTTCAAGGCACAGACCACCTGGAAGGCACCGAGGTAAAATGGGTGGGCTCTTCCCCACACCCCACATAGGGCTCACTGTGTCCCTTTTGTAGCTTCTTTGCCCCGAAATCCAGCCCCTGGTATTCATATGCATTCATCTAAGCTGTCCCACCTGTGGGGAAAATACCTGCAGGTAGAAACAGGAAGTGCTCAGTGGGGTTCCTGGCCCAGTCCCCAGTGTACTGCCCCGCCTACAGATAAGAGTTTGGGGAAACTACTATTATTATGCCTACCTCTGTTTCAATTGCATAATGGCTCAATAAATTAAAATAATTTACAAATCTATGAATTAGCTATCTTTGAAAAGTATTCCTTTGGCTTTCTTTTCTTCCTCTAAACTTCTTGTATTTTCTAGTCTTTCCTAGTTTCCATGACTCTAATTAGCCCCAGCTTGAGCTTCTTATTTGGTCACAGAACAGGGAAAAAGGGAAATCTGTTTTCACTTTTTCTCTTCTTACTTACCATCCGTATATGCCCTCTATTTGAAAACCAATAATAAAATGAATTATAATATTTCATTCACTCACTCAATAATTAACTAGGTGCTAGGAGCCTGTTGCCCGTCTCTCACTAGAGTTCTACCAGCCTGAGGAATACATCAGAAATCCCAGCGCTACTTACTGTCTTTTAAACTAGTATTTAAAGATCCTGAGAGAATCGTCAAAAGGAACTTGCACCTGATGGTGCCGCCTTCTCCCAGCTTCACTCCCTCCTTTGCCTCATTTCCTGCTTCTTTGCAAGTAACCAAGCATCCTTGGTCCTCTGCCTGTTCTCCACAGGGCTCTGCTGCCCAAAGGATTCCTTTCCATGGCCCCAGTATCTCCTATAGTCTTGGCTGATGAATGCTTGACCTCCTCATGCCTCTGCCCAAACTATGCCCACATTTTTTGCTCCAGGCTTCCATTGATTTCTTTGAATAGTCATCAGTTGTTTGTTTTTATAAGAAAAATCATCAGCAATATTCCCGTGACTCTCCACAGTTTGCAGCCAGAAGACATAATGCCTGTCTCTGTATAGGGCATCAAAAGTCAGTGACAGGACAGATGCCTTCAAAAGTCATTCAAGGTTCAATAGGCTGGCTGAGCCAACCAAACCCTGCTCAAGTGCCCTGCAAGCACAGACAGAGTGGGCAAAGCCAGACAGTGGGGCAAGAGGGGACTAGCAGGGATAAGAAGGAGCTTCAGGGACCACTGGTACTGCCACCACCATCCCCACCACCAAGGCCCTCATGCCCAGGCATGTACTGAAGAACCAGACAGTGAAGCTCTGTTCCCCTTTGGGGGTATTGGTGGAGATCCCTAAAAGGGATGGAGGAAGGGATGGGTCCTCAGATAGGAATCTGCAGCTCTGATGGATGGCTATCACCCAGTTGTCTTCTGCGTTGGTTCCCCAAGGAGAAAGGCCAAGCCCCTCCCCTCTCTGAACCTACTCTTCCATCGCAGATCACAAAGGCTCCAGGTTGATCAGGCCAGTAGCCCTGGCAATCATCCTCTTCCTCAGCCAGGAAGGGGA